AAGTGAGGAATCGAACTCCCAACTTCTGGATCTACAGCCAGAGACCAAAACCACTGAGCTATCCAGTATTTATCATTATCATCCTCTTGGAACTGCAGAACTGGAAGGATCATGGATCCTGATGGATCATTGGAGTCCTGGCCCTGTCAAGGAGGCCCAGAGTGGGAATCGAACATCCATTGTCTGGCTCCGCAGCCTGAGAGCTAACTATCCACTCAACTATCCATCAGTTCAGTACAGTACATTATTAATAAGGTTTTATTTTTATGGGGATTTCTTCACGTTGCTCAAAGGTAATAATAATCAGCACCCTGGGTGGGGAGCAATTAACCCTTGGAGATCTGTGATCAAAGCCCTCCACATGTGATCTCTTCTGTTTCCACAATGGATGGTGAAACTGCTTTTGGGGGTGGGGGACTGTCACACACACCCAGTCCCCCTGTTTGTTCTTCCACACAACCCAGGTTCACTTTCGGGGTATGACATTTACTTTTTACCCCTTTCTGCTGCCACCAGAGGAGATATTCCTCAATGTATCATATATCACTCTTCAATCAGTGTTATTCAATTAAACAATGTTTATTAAAGTGTTCATAAGTAAATCATGTAAAGTAAATCACGGATGCTCTTATTTCATGTATTCAATCAACTCTGCTTTGGTAACATTTATATTTGCTTAGGTAGAATCATGTTGCTTAGGGACGTGGTGGCGCTGCGGGCTAAACCACAGAAGCCTGTGCTGCAGGGTCAGAAGACCAAGCAGTCGTAAGATCGAATCCACGCGATGGAGTGAGCGCCCGTTGCTTGTCCCAGCTCCCGCCAACCTAGTGGTTCAAAAGCATGCAAATGCAAGTAGATAAATAGGGACCACCTCGATGGGAAGGTAACAGCGTTCCGTGTCTAAGTCGCACTGGCCATGTGACCACGGAAGATTGTCTTCGGACAAAAAATGCTGGCTCTATGGCTTGGAAACAGGAATGAGCACTGCCCCCTAGAGTCGAACCCGACTGGACAAAAATTGTCAAGGGGAACCTTTACCTTTACCTTAGAATTATGTTAATCTCTGTATTTGTTCATTTCATATCTTGTTCTCTATCTCTCTATTCTTCTCTAACACCAGGCTGGTCCTAACTGCTTAAACTGCTTTTCTCTAACACCAGTCCCTAACTCTTCCCCAACTGCCTCCAAACTCAGACTCTAACTGCAAACTGAATTTTAACTGTCTTCCATTCTCTTATATATCCTTAGTCCCACCTCTTCTGTACAACCATTGGCTCCTGAATCAGGGTTCCATTGTGATGGACACCTGTCCGTCACAGCGATTTAAAAGGAAAACTAAGGAAAAGAGATCAGAGGCCATTATGGATCCTGCTTCGCAGAAACACCGACATGGCTTCAACATTGAAATGCCAAGATTGGATGAGAATGCTGGATTCCCCTGCAGGGCTCCCATCCCTCCTTTTTCAACTAGTTCTTCAAAATAAGGGGATAGGTGATGTGTGCCATTTGGGTTTTTTTTTGGGGGGGGGGCTCTGATTTAAAAGGAAAATGTAAGACCGGAGGTGAGAGCAAAGTGCCTCTCACGGGTGAGTCGTCCCTCTCGCTAAGTGCCGATAAAGAGAGCCAAACCCCGCCAATTCCCCTTCCCAAGAAAATTAGCATGCTTTCTTTCAAACTGATGTTTCCTCAAGTTTATTGCCTGGGCATCCAACTCTAAACCACTGATCTGTACTTCTTTTCAACTACTGCTAATAGTTGGTCCTTTATAACACTCTCAGAAATCACGTATACATGTTTCTATACGCTACCTCTGATTTCCACTTCGTCTCAACCTGCTTTGTGATAATCCAAGCAAACACCAGCTATGCACTTCAGCCCTCTTCAGGTGAGGTCCAGGACGGTTTTTAAATTTCCACATGTGGTCACAGGGGCCAAAATGTGAAGGACACAAAACTCAGTGTCAAGTAATACCAAGTCAGCACTTCATCGTCGTTGGAAAAGTTTCATTGTAACAAATGCAAAATGAGATAGATGAAAGTTATCTGAAGGTCCCTTGGATTCACAGGGCCTCCTGCAGCACAGACTAAGACCGAGATCAACTTGTCCGGCGCTGTTGTCGAAAGGGCGCTATTGAAATGGAAAAGGGTAAGAAGGGAGGAGGAAAAAAATCAAAGAGCTGGGGCATTCTTCGAAAAAGGAAATTATCTCGAACTTTTTGGTGTGGAAGGCAAAAAAGGGGGGGGGGAAGAGAGGGGAGGGAGAGGAATGTACGAGACCTGAGAAATGATATAATCAGGAAGCACCCTACCCTCTTTAATTACAAGGACAAATATATTGCCCACTGCCTTACCTCCAAAGAACAAGATTATAAGTAAATAATCTATGATAATCTTAGAACTGGAGAGCTGGAAGGGACCCTAGGTAAAGGTAAAGGTTCCCCTTGACAATTTTTGTCCAGTCGTGTCCGACTCTAGGGGGCGGCGCTCATCCCGCTCTTCAAGCCATAGAGCCAGCGTTTGTCCGAAGACAATCTTTCCATGGTCACATGGCCAGTGTGATTTAGACACGGAACGCTGTTTACCTTCCCACCGAGATGGTACCTATTTATCTACTCGCATTTGCATGCTTTCGAACCGCTAGGTTGGCGGGAGCTGGGACAAGCGACGGGCGCTCACTCCGTTGCGTGGATTCGATCTTACGACTGCTTGGTCTTCTGACCCTGCAGCACAGGCTTCTGCGGTTTAGCCCACAGTGCCACCACATCCCCACCACGTCCCTAGGAAGGGACCCTAGGGATCACTAAGTCCAGCCCCAGCCAACGGGAATTCTGGGCTTTTAAAGGCTTTGTCCCCTGTGTGGATTCTTATATGGTGATTGAGTTGTGTTCTCTGACTGAAGCACTTTCCGCATTCCAAACAGGCAAATGGTTTCTCCCCTGTGTGGATTCTCATATGAGGGGCAAGGTTTGTCCTCCGACTGAACATCTTTCCACATTCGAGGCACTGAAAAGGTTTTTCCCCTTTGTGGATTTTAACATGAGAGCGAAAACTCGTTCCTTCATGGAAACACTTCCCACATTCCAAACATACATACGGTTTCTCCCCTGTGTGGATCCTCCTATGGGAGCGAAGGGTGCTTCTATGCCTGTAGCTATTTCCACATTCGGAGCATTTAAAGGACTTCTCCCCCGTGTGGATCCTCATATGAGAGGCGAGGGCTGTGCTGTGACTGAAGCTCTTCCCACATTCTGGGCATTTAAAGGGTTTCTCCCCTGTGTGGATTCTCATATGGCGAGAAAGTTGTGTCCTCTCATTGAAGCACTTTCCACATTCCACACAGGGAAATGGCTTCTCTCCTGTGTGGATCGTCATATGAAGGGCAAGGTTTCTCCTCCGAGTGAGCATCTTTCCACATTCGAGGCACTGAAAAGGTTTTTCTCCTTTGTGGATTCTCATGTGAGAGCGTAAGCTTGCCCCCTGATGGAAACACTTCCCACATTCCAAGCATTTATAGGGTTTCTCCCCTGTGTGGATCCTGATATGGGAGAGAAGGGTGCTTCTATGCCTGTAGCTATTTCCGCATTCGGAGCATTTAAAGGACTTCTCCCCTGTGTGGATTTTCATGTGGGAAGCAAGGCTTCGGTTGTGACCAAATCTCTTCCCACATTCCGAGCATTCAAACGGTTTCTCCTCCACGTGGATTCTTCGATGGGAACTGAGAGTGCTTCGACCACCAAAGCTTTTCCCACAATCCATACAGGTGAAGGGTTTCTCCCCTGTGTGGCTTCTCATGTGGTCACCGAGGTAGCTTCTCCGATTGAAGCACTTCCCACATTCTGAGCACTGAAACGGTTTCTCCCCTGTGTGGATTTTCATATGGAAAGCAAGGCTTGTACTGTGGCTGAACTTCTTTCCACATTCCAGGCATTCAAATGGTTTCTCCCCTGTCTGGAGTCTCATGTGAGAAGTATGGTCTGTACTCTGACCGATGCCCTTGTCAGACTCTGTGCATCTAATGGGTTCCTCTTCTCTCCGCATTGTCAGATATTTTTCTGGGGATAAAGCATCACAAAAATCCTCACTGTATTCTGAGCATTCTATCATTTTTCTCCCTCGGTGGATCTCCCACTGAGCATTTAGACCGGTCTGGCCGGCGAGACTTTCATTGCCCTTAAGACTTGAGTTGCTTTCATCTACTCCTTCCCCGAAAAAATGTTCAAGAATATTTCCATGTGAGAAAATAAAAGATTCTTTCCCCTTCTCTTCGGTTTCTGTTTTATCTGTTTGGTGTTTTCTTTCCTCCGTGACTTTTTCAAAGCATATTTGAAACAGTTCTTCCTTCAACCTGCCTTCAGTTCCCCTTGGAGCTGAAAGAAAACAGAAAAACTGGATGTTCTGAAACAGCCTCATCACCACCAATTAAATGTAAACCACCTTAACCACAATGAAGCAGAAATTTGTCAGAAACAAGCTTCAGGAGGCTATAGAAATGTTAGACCACTTGATTTTGTGGAGCTGCTCGTGAAATGATTTCATCAGTGGAACTTTAATTTATCATGAAGCCTTTAAGACTAACACATTTATTTCAGTGTGAGCCGTTGAGTTTGTGGTCCACTGCTTTAGACACCCGACCATTTTGGATAGTAGTCCGCAAAAACAGAGAATAAAATAAATTTGACACAAGACTTCTGTTACTATTTTTGTGCTGTTTGGGATTTGATTCTTCATGAAAGTGACCAACACTCTGAAAAGGGCTATGAGGGAAAGGAAATCTTACCCAGAGACACCAGGAGGGCCAAAATCTCCTCCATGACTTCCCAGTGCAGAGCCCTTTGGCCCGGATCCAGCAGAGCCCACTCCTGCTCCGTGAAAGACACAGCAACGTCCTCAAGAGTGACGGGACCCTGAAAGGAAAGGAAGGCTTGTATCCTGACAGGTGTCACAAGTGTCCTACCTTTTAAAAGTACATAGTGTACCTGAAGAGAATTAAAGTCAGCAATGTTCAGACTGAACACTTTAATGTCATTGTGAGACTAGAGGTGAGGGGGTAGAAGCCCTCGCCGGAGTGTCGTCCTCCTCTAAGAAAGAAAAGGAGGCACAGACCGACATGCCTGCACCGGTCGTCATGACAGCGCATCAGGGTGTAGACACCAAGGACCTAGAGCAGGGGCTGGCCAAGATATCTATAGCCACTCAAACAGGAGCAGAAATGGCGGGAAAAGAAGAAAGGGGCAGAGCCATGGTGGAGGCGGGAATGGTGGATATAAAAGGGGGGGTTGGGAATTAATATGGGTGGAAGACCCATGGACGGGGATGTGTGAAAAGGTCCGGCTGCCTCAGGAAGAGGCGGATTACTGATGGAGAAGAGGTCTACTACAGCGCCTCTCTTACAGGTGGGAAAAGGAAGTCCGGGAAAGGTGATGCCGGTTGTAGGAAGAGAAAGAGGCTGTGGAGAGAGAAGAATGAGAACGGAAAGCATGGCAGCTGGAGGAGGCCCGCCAGAGAGGGTACTGGCCGGACCGTGGGACTTATTACCCAGGGGAGAAACTCCTTCGACTCAGAGGGGAGAGACGAGGAGACCCTACCCTTGATCGATCCGCGACTAGACTCAGGGGATCCTCAGGACACTAACCCGTTTGCTAAGGGACCATGGAATGAAACTAGTTATAACCCATTTGAGCAAGATGTTTGGATGCCCTCGTGGGACCCGTTGTCAACAAGAGATAAAGCTGATATAAGTATGAGAGTTAATAACCCTGAGTTAAATGTTGCAATAAATACTGATTATGACTTTATTCCGACTGAGCCTGTAGTCAATCAGGCCCCTTTTGAACCCTCACAGTCATTTCCCCAGACTTCCTCACAAGAATTTGTGGCAAAATAATTTTTTTTGTTCCGCTCAAAGCTTTCTTCCGTTCCAGAGACA